CCCCTCGCTGACGTCGGCAGGCAAGCCGATTGGGGTCGAGAAAAGGCTACATAGCAGTTGAGTCAGACTTTGAGAGGGCTGAAGACAGAGTGGGGTAACTTGTCAGCTGGGGGTTGCTGGAGGATTTGTGCTAGGTAAGGAAATGTGTGTTCTAGGGAAGCTCGGGAGCCCTGTTTTGGGACCCTGCCTTCCCACGGTTTGCCCGGCGTCAGCGAGCGCCCGCATCCTCCTTGATTCCTGGAGGTTAGGAGCTTTTCCACATCCATCCATCCCCCACCCTATACCAACCCTGTGTTTCTAATTCCCTGGAGTGATGGAACTGTGCCTCAAGCCCCACAGAATGCTGTGTATATTCTCCACAAAGTGACATCACGTCTTTTCATGTGAGCTTTGGCCGGCAAGAAAAGCTTTTGGCACACGATTCTAAAGTGAAGACCAAGGGTAGAGCTGGCTTCTCTGAGCTGTGGGACCCTTGCCCTCCCTAGTTCTCCTTTCCATACCTCTAAAATGAGAGGCCTTGGACGCCCTGACCTCCAAGGGCCTGCCCTTTCAGCTATCAGATTCGATTTTCACTGTTTTACCTTTTGCTTTGTTGGAATATTTTGACCTTGATTTTGAAATCTCTTTTTCCTGATATCTTATCAGACTGATGTAGCAATAGGGGCAGTAGGTTAAGCTGAGCCTTTGGAGCTGGTGAGCAGTGAGCGAAATGCCCACAGAGCCCTAGGTCGGGGTATGGAGCAAACGGGAAGCTGTCCTTGGCCATTTTCAAATCTCACTGAAAGCAGTCAAGATTCTGGAGGGGGGTTGATGTGTCACCATTACATTTAGGGAGCTCATCAAAGTATCAGAGCTCAGAGTTTCTGTGTCAGGAATCAGGCAGATAGTGTAAGTGGGACTGTAGGGAAATTGCGAGGAAGTAGCTGCCTCGTTCAAAGGGGGCCCAGCCCCAGTCATTTGATGCCACGCAGGAGGGGCCCCAATCAAGAGAAGCCAAACCAAAATGTGTCTCAAGACTTGCCCTTAACTCTGCTCTCTAGTCCTCCTGGGGCTTGGATAGTAGGTATTGGGGCTGAGAACAGGTGGCACGTCACAGAAACCTGATCATATAAACATATTGTTGTACTGAGCATGAGGAGAAGGGCCTGGAAAAAGCCCAGCTGGTTGTCAAAAGGAGGATTTGGATACCTCTGTGTGATCCTTAAGGCTGTAATTCAGGCAGTTCCCTGGCCACGGCAGACACTCCTGAACTCTGCATCAGACAGCCCCTGTAGACGTGGTCTGTCAGGCGGTTGGTGCTGCCTGCTTTCTGGACCCCTTTTTTGGAGAGGCCCCCCCACCCTTGCACATACTCCAGAATTTATGGCGGTCTTCTGGCACCTTTTGTGGTTTTAATCCTTTTCATGCTGACTTAAAATATTGTTGAGGCCTTCATGAATTTTCAGGTTGAACAGAAGTTTCGTTGTTGAAAATATTTTGGCATCTGTCTACTGGGTGGAGGCTGCTTTTGCCCCCAGTCACTGCCAACCCACCCTGGCACCTTCTTTGGCTCAGCTGGATGGTGATTCTGTATCCTGAACACTTGATTCTAGAACAGTTGTGGCCAGCTTTACTGTTTCTTGGGCCCTGGGTGGTTTTTGTGTGTTATCCAAATTTTGATTTCCTGCCATTTAAAAGTGAATATTGTTTCTTCTCTGGCTGGAGGCCTGAGAAGGGCTGTGAGCAACTGCCCACGCCGCAGACTCTCTTAGCTCGGAGAGGCAGCTGTGTGCTGTGGGAAAGTAGCCTGGCCTGGCACTTTCACTCCGGGTTTCACTCGACATGGTCTTTTTTCCGAATCAAATGTGAATAACCCCAGAACTGGTAGTGGTCACATCTGATAGTGGTTTGAGTCACAGCCACAGGCTGGCACTTCTGTCCTCTTAGAACCCTTGAAAAAGAAAATAAGGATCTTAAGTCTGGAAGAGCTGATTGCTACAAATAGGAACATGAATCATGCTCTGTTATTTTCTTAATAGACGGTTAAATGAGGATATCCTCTCCTATATCAGAGAATTTAGAAAACTTGGCCTGGTGAGCCTCACGCTTCGAGGCTCACCATGTCGCATCCCTGGGATGCCACTGCCCCGGATGCCAGTACTGCTGGGGTGAGGGCTTGCTTGAAGTCTCAGCCAGGTGTGGTCTCATGGATGCTGACTGGAACAGCACTTTGTCTTCAGGTCCAGCCTTGCTGGGAATCTTTCTCCATCACACGGATTTCAGGAAGAGCTTGACTGTGGAACAGGGCACCATGAAGGTTGAGTCACTGCCTGCTCTGACTGACAACTACATGTACCTGATCATCGATGATGACACCAAAGAGGCTGCCATTGTGGACCCGGTGCAGCCCCAGAAGGTGGGAGGCGTGGCCCCAGCACCAATTCTTCATCTCCTGATGAGTTTGATAACCACAGTGCCCTTGCAGCATGGCCAAAGCTAAATAGAAATCAACCCATTTGGTTTTTGAAAAACAATTGAACTAGTGTCCAGCCACTCTCTTATTGGGACAGAGGGCCAGTGAAGGGTGGAGGCAACCAAAGGCTTTGGTGTAGAGAGAAAGGGCTTCTGTCTGTAGAGTGCCTGGGCAGAGAGAAGCAGGGGCCCTTCTCAGCACTGTCTTCTCTTCCTCCAGGCTTTCTGCTCCTTGGCGCTGCCTTTGAGGGTGGCGGTCTTGGATTGAGGGGCTTGGAGAGGTTATCGGTGGGGCTGAATTACCAAGTGGAGTCCAGAGGGGACTTGTCACCCTGCTCTCCTGGAGTTGGGACAAGTTGGTAGGGTCAGGACAGGGCCTGGCACATCCTGGGCTCCACTGGGCACCCCCACTTTGTAGGCAGGCCGGTGAGCCAGTGCTGGGGGTGTGACTGTGGCCTGGGTCCTGCCCCCTGTTTGGTTGCAGGTTGTGGAAACAGTGAGAAAGTACGGAGTGAAGCTGACTACAGTGCTCACCACCCACCACCACTGGTAAGTGCTCCAGAGGCCGAACTTCTTCCAAGCTGGCAGAGCTACTTGGGCCTCACAGCTGTGCCACGTGTGCTCCAAGGGTGAGCGTCCAACAGGCGGAGCAGGGTGGGATGCTCGCAGGCTCCCCAGGCCCTCCCACAGGTGGAGCCCAGAGCCCTGGAAGCTCTTCTCCCCTCCACACCTGTGAGCTGTGCGTCAGCCCCCGTGGGATTCTGACAAGGGTCCGGGTGCTCGCCTCTGTGCTGCTGCCCCATGTCCCTCGGGCCTGGTGATGGGGTCTGGAGACTTCGGGGCTCTGAAGGGGGAGGCTTATGCTGTGGGTCCTGTGGCCTTGGGAGAACCACCAGCAGCATCTTTGAAGGCTCTTGGGCTTGTGTGGTGGGAAGCTGGCCTTGATGTTTTGGAATAAACTAGTCTAGACGTTAGTGTTTTAAAAAATCCAGCAGTCATATTTGGAGAGGTTGTGGGGTTTTTTTTGATATTTGAAGGCTGAAGGATGGAAAAAAACCCAAAACACTGATATTTGGGTTTTAGGGCTAGAGTCTCCTGCCCAAGGCCCTTTTGGGTTTTTGAAACTTTTGAGGCTCTTCAAAGCTAGGAAAAATGTTTATTTGGCTCTGAATTTTCTTTTCCAAATAACTACCCAAGGGCAGCCAGCGTCTTTGAACCCATTCCTGTGGCATCTTGCCGAGCTCAGGGTATGTCCTTGGGTGAAAGGAGGCCTTGCAGCTTCTCTGTGGGAGTGTCATATTGATGTGGTTTGGCCAGAATCTGTTAAGTGGTGGAAACTTGGTGGTTGATGTAACTAAGTCACTGAGAGCCTTGGAGTTGGTTAACCTCTGGGGCATCAGGTGTTAAGTCCTGGCAAGTTAGGGACTTTAGGACATGGATCTATGATGGCTCCTTAATGCAACCGCCTTTTCTCTCAGGAAGTCCACCCTCTGTGGTGCCGAGGTATCCCCTACTCCCTCGGCCTCCATGTGGCTCCATGGAGCCTCCTGTGCCCCAAGTTTTTCCCAGTTTACTTCTCTCTCCCACCATGAGTAACCCCCATGTCAGATGTCATTTTTCCCACATTGTGATGCTTTGGGGTTTTTCTCAGCACCTTTTGTTTATGCTGGAACATAAAACCCTAGATCATGCCCCACCCTGAGCTCCAGGGTGTGGCCTGTGCCACTCTCCCACTGGCAGTGTGCTGAGTCGTTGGTGCTGGCCCACATGTAACAGCCTCCGAGTGGAGGGGAGCAGAGGGCTGGCTGCCCGTTATCTCTGAGCCCTGCTGTCTCTGGGCCTGTTGAAGGAGTCCGTAGTGGAATGTGTGGTGAGGAACAGGTGTGCCCTGGCAATTGGAAAACCCTCGCCTTGTCCTGGCAAGGCTGATCTTCCCGGGTCAGGACACTCCCAGCCCTGCCCTGAGTCCAGGACCCCAGCTGGGCTTGCCTCGCTGCAATTCCAGCCCCACAAGGCCGGGGAGTGGAGCTGTCCTCTCGACCTTCTTTCTGAAGTGCTGGTCAAGCTGAACTGGAAAGCTGGGGAGCTCCTGGATGAGTGTCCAGGAAGTTCCTCAACTCTGGCTGCACATTTGAGTTGCCTGGGGAGGTCATTCTGAGCTGGCCTGTCCCTGGGTGGACAGTTCGCCCTCTGGCAGCTGGGCATTATAAAAGTCAGCTATGTGATCTGCTCAGGGTCCTAGCTGGGCTGTGAGTTAGAATCACCCGGGGAACTTTTAAAACTCCCGCCCTACAAGCCTCCCCGGGCCCTCTGCATTAGGATGTGTGGGTTGGAGTCAGGCCTTTTTACAGATCTACAGGTGACTCTGATGCACCGGAGTTTGGGAGCCATGGGTATTTATGATTTGGTTCATCTGCTTCAGAAGCTTCTGCAGCAATAGGGCAGGGGCACAGAGGTGCCTCTCTTGGAAATGGGGTATCTGAGAATGTTCTTTTCAGTGGAGTCATGACAGACACGAGGTGAGCTTCCTGGGTTGGAAGATGCATTTCTACTTCTAAGAAGTGTAACTGGGGAAAATAAAAATTGTGTTGGGGCAGGGTTTAAAAGCAGTTAACCTCCTCTTCGGATCAGCAGTAGCCACAGCTCTCCTTTTTGACTTCTAGGGACCACGCTGGCGGGAACGAGAAGCTGGTCAAGTTGGAGCCTGGGTTGAAGGTGTATGGGGGTGATGACCGGATTGGGGCCCTGACTCACAGGGTCACACACCTGTCCACACTGCAGGTGAGGCGTGAGCCAATGGAAGGGGTTCAGTCGTGGCCCTGCAGCACTCCAGGCCCCAGAGCACAGTGTGGGGATGGGGGTCCTGTGGGGACACTGCCACTGCCTCCTCTTGGCTGTCCCCAGGGGCCCAGAGGGGCACTCGAGGGCTTGGGCTGAGGAGATGGCCTGGCCTGCAAATGGGTGGACAGGCTCTTGGGGCTGCCAGGCCTGGACAGTCCTCTCTGTCGAGAGTGCTGTAAGTGCTTCAGTGTGCAGATGGTGACTGGTGAGGGGAGGCCATAGGCATGGTTTTGAGACACCGGGGAAACTGAAACAGACCCTATGTGGGATCATTTCTCACGTTGATACTAAGTTTCTTCAGTGTGATGGCAATGAGGTTATGTGGGCAGATGTCCTTTACTTGGGGATGCAGCTGGAGTGTCTAGGGGCAGTTTGTCAGGGGATGGGGTGGAGTGAGCACGTGCCACAGATGTGGGACCTGCAGCATTTGGTGACTCAGGTAAAAGTCACACAGATGCTCATTGTTGTTTTAGTTTTTCAGTTGGTTGGAACATTTTTGAAGTAAAGAGTGACCTAGGGTGTGAGACAGAGAAGGAAAACAAGACAGAAGCCCAAGCACCCAAGAAGGAAAACCATCTTTTCTGGCAAGATGTCTAGTTCAGATTTGACCCGGTTTTGAGGAGAGAACAAAATCCGCCCCTTGGGTTCTGCATGCCAGCAGACCAGCTTCCAGGGGGGCCCTGCACTGGGGGGCACCCATGAGGACTGGGTCCCGTCAAGATCTAGGACTTCCTAAATGGAGCAGCATCCATGGGTGCCCGCTTGCCCTTGACGGCAGCTCCTGCTGTGGGGCAGGCGTGAGTCTGGGAGCGTCTGTGGGCCTTAGGACGGGCCCCCCGCATGCAGGGAGCACGTGCCAGTGTGTGCTTTGTTTAAGGTGGGCTCACTCAATGTCAAGTGCCTGTCGACACCGTGCCACACTTCCGGACACATCTGCTACTTTGTGAGCAAGCCCAACAGTTCCGAGCCCCCTGCCGTGTTCACAGGTGAGTGTTCAGGTGTGTCTGCTGGGGGTCTGGCGTTCATTGCAAAGACCCTATTGGCATAGGGATGGCTTTGAAAATCTCTGGGCAGAGAAGCAGAGCATTTCCCGACAGGCAGACTGTGCTTGGCTCTGTAGGGAGGACCATGGCCCCAGGGTAGAGCCTGGGACTCAGCCTTAGACACATCCGGGGTGCAGGCAACCCTGGTGGGAACGTGGGGGCGAGTGCTACCTCCTGGTGGTGCTGGCCTGCGTGCTCCGCCTGATCCTGGTCACCACTGTCAGGCTTGTAGGGACAAGCCTTTCAGCGACTCTGCCTGGTGGGGATGCAGTCCCAGCCCCCACTACCTCCTGCAGCAGACAAGCAGGCAAGGGACAGGGGGCAGTGAGCCAGGAGGAGGGGAACCAGCCAGACCCTGATTGATTCCGGGTGCTGAGTGATCATGCTGCTCCCTCCCTCCATGGGCTGTGAGCCGAGCGGGTCTGGCAAAGTCCAGCCTTACGTCTGGGTGCCCTGCACAGTGGCCTCAAGAGCTCAGAAGGTGGCGGTGAAGCTCCGCCAGCGTCAGGCCTTGTGAGCTGCCTTCAAGCAGTCCTTTCCAGCAATTGGAAGTATTTCCGCCTTTGAGAGAAAATGGAAGAATGTGGATGCTTGTTGGGGATCCTGTGAAGCGGAGCAGCCGCGTGACGAAAGTGTTCAGGGTGATGTGAGCCAGTGGCCATGGGCAGGCAGAGGCGGCCTGTTGGCTCTGCAGGGCCCCTCTGCCACCTCAGCTTATTTAGTGAGTATAAGCAGTTTTTAATCTCTGAGTCTTCCCCAGATTTCAGTTGCAGTCGTGATATAACTGCAGTGAAAGTTTGAAAATACAACAGCTGATGAAAAACGGGCATTGATGGGAAACCTTCATCGGGTCTAGGGTGGGGACATTAACGTGAAGGGAAACACAGGGCCACTGGGCTATCTCTGTAGCTTGTCCAAAATTATCTCTGGTGTGCAGGGAGGGGAGGGGTGAGCTGACTCTGCAGAGCATGGGGGAGGGGCAGGATGCCTCCAGTGCTCTTAGCAGCTGATGGTGAAGGGTGAGAGGGAGATACTGGTGGTCCCCGCTGCCAGGGGAGGGCTGTGGGGGTCTCTGAGTGTCCTTGCTGGTGAGGACATGGCCCCATGGCGGAGGCCCAGGCTGGCTCCCTGGCCCCGGTGGCAGGAGGGCCTGTAAGTAGCAGGTGCTGCTCATCCCTGACGGAGGGCCTGACCCTGCAGCCTGCCGCACCTGTACATGACCCGTCCTCCTCTCGGGTCTACTTGGCTTCTCGCTGGTCCCCAGACTTGAGGTTGTGGAGTCCTTCAGGGGCATAGACCTAGTACTGCATGTTGAGGCCCTGCTCACAGGCTAGCCTAACTCCCTCGTCCTGTGGTCTTGTTCTGAGGGGCAGTGCTGCATCCCGGCCACTGGGTGGGCCTTGACCCCTGCCTGGGATGGCCTGGGGGCTCCCTGGGAAGAGACCTGGCAAGTGCTGGTAGAGGAGGACTGTCGCTTTGTGTTGTGGGGTCCCAGGCCCTCCCCGCCCAGGGGCCTGGAGAACAGATGTGCCGTGGGCTCCCACTGGGCATGGAGCCCCTTCTCAGGGAAAAGCCCAAGAGAGGGAAGCAGCCTGTGGACACTTGGCGGGTGTCAGGTGGAGGATGGACTGAGGCAGGAAGGAGTGAGTCTCAAAGGCCCTCAAGGGCTGTGGTTCTGCATGAGAGGCTCCTGGAAGGCCCAGGGAGGTGGGAGGAGGCAGTGAGCTCTTCGGGATTCTTACAGGATAGTGCTGGCTGTTGGGAGTAAGGGAAGTCACGGGAGGTCTGGCCTGGGAGGGACTACTGGATGGGTGGAGAAAAGGAGTAGGGGGTGGGTCTCAGAGCTACAGCTGATGGACTGGGTAGTGAGACAGAGTGACCCTAAAATTTGAGTTTGAATAGCTGTTTGGAGTCTGGCAGTACCAGTTAGATTTGAGGGGAAAGGTTTGAGGAGGGTGGGAACCAGGACTCTGGGTCATCTCTGGGCCCTGGCGGGGTGGAGGTCAGGTCTGGGGCTATGGCCCAGTCAGCACAGAGGTCAGGGAAGACCCCTGACCCCTCAAGGAGGGGTGTGCTGCGGGCAGCCCCTCCATCTCCATGGCTGTCCTGTTTTCAGGTGATACCTTGTTTGTGGCTGGATGCGGGAAGTTCTATGAAGGGACGGCGGATGAGATGTACAAAGCCCTGCTCGAGGTCCTGGGCCGGCTCCCTCCAGACACAGTAGGCAGCGCCCCGTCAGCTGCCCGAGCCAGGTGGTGGGAGGACACTGCCAGCTCTCCCTATCCGTCCCCTCAGCTCTGGCCGGGCCTTCTGGGGCTGTTGGCACTCAGGGCCAGCTCTCCCCACTGGGGCCTCGTAGGCCTTCCCTGAGTGTTGGGAGGAGGGGGAGGGTGGAGGCATTACTTCTGGAGGCGTGTTTTTTCTTTCGGTGTATTTTTTATTGTCATTTAACATACACTCAAGAAGTGTCCTTGTCCTGAGGGACATCTCCGTGGGTGCTGCACCGGACATGGCCCGGGGCCCCTCACGCCGTCCCTGAGGGGTTTGAGGGTGGGTTGGTGAGTCTCTTCAGAGCTTGCAGGCTTGGCTTTTTCCTCAGAGAGTGTACTGTGGCCACGAATACACCATCAACAACCTCAAGTTTGCCCGCCACGTGGAGCCCAGCAATGCTGCCATCCAGGAGAAACTGGCCTGGGCCAAGGTGAGTGGGATGCACAGCCCTGTTCTGTGGGTCAGCACCATGTGACCTCCCTGGGAGCACAGAGCTCATGGCACTATCTCCAGAGTGTGCAGAGAGTGCTCCTCCAGGCCACAGACAAGGCGGGTTTTAGATGGCCCAGTTTTGTGTGAGGAAGCCCTGGTTGTCTGCTTAAGATCCCTTCTGACTCAGGGGGTCCAGGCTGGGCCTGGGATTCTGCATTTTCAACTAGCGCCCAGGTGAGGCCAAGGCAGCAGCCCCCAGCCAGTTTCCTGTGTCAGGGTCCTGCAGGGCCGTGTGGCAGCTCCCTGGCCTCCCACTCGGGGAGACCAGCCCTGCCATCTCCTGAACAGCAGAATTCATCCTGCAGGCTATTTGTCTGAAAGGTCTTTATTTCTACCATGGCCCAGGATGTACTCCGTGGCTCGGCCTAGGGGTGGTGTTCTGTCTTGGGGGCGGCTTCTGTGGGGGGTTTGGAAACACTGCTGGGCCGAAGACGGCCTCCTGGACTCGGGTCTGTCTTCCTCCCTCTTCAAACACACACACACTGCGGAGGCCTCAGGTGCTGGGCTCCCTTCTGCTGAATTCAGTGAGTAATGGTCTCATAGTTTTGTTTTTTTATAAATCACCTGTTTTTGTCAACCATCTTTATCAATTTTGGGGGGTGGGCTTACATACTTACTAAATTCAAACACTACCTTAATGAGTTGATGAGCATCCCATTTTTTTTTACAGTGTGCACATAAGAATACTTTTTCTTAACATAAAAACTCATCCTGTGTGTGGTTTTGTGGCTTCCTTTTCACTTCATAATGGCTCTTACTGCTCTTTCCATAGTGGTCCCTACATACTGAACTCAATCTTTTCATGGTTACCTGCTTTCTAAAAACTAATCTTTATTGAAGATAATTTACATACAATAAAACATACCTGTTTTGAGTGAAGAGTATACAGTTTCATGAATTTTGACAGTGTTTGCTCCCATGTCACCCCCACAGTCAAGATACAGAACATTTCCTCTGTCCCAGAAGGTTCCTTGCCTTACTCCATTCAGTCCCCTACTACTGATCTGCTTTCTCTCACTGCAAATTACTCTTTCCTAGAGTTTCATATAAACAGAGTCTGAGTACATTACTCTGTTGTATCTGGCTCCTTTCCTCAGCATCTAATTCATTCATGCTTTTTAAACATTTCTGAGTAGAATCTCGTATGGCTGTACTGCAGTTTGTTTATCCACTCGTCAGGATGGACTTGGGTTATCTCCACCTTTTTGCTATTATACATAAAAATTACTGTGAGCGTTTGGGAGCAAGTCTTTGGACACATGTTTTCATTGCTTGTGGGCACATATCTAAGCGTGTAATTGCTGGGTTGTGTGCTAAGTGTATGTTTAACTTTTAAGAAACTACCAGACTGTTCCAGGTACTTGAGCCATGTGGCACTCTAGCATTGCATGGGTTCCAGGTGCTGCCCACGCTCACCTACACTTGGTCTTGTCGGCCTTTTAAATTTCAGTCATTCTGTTAAATGTGTAGTGGTAGCTCCTTATGGTTTTTAGATTTCTAATTCTCTGATGGCTAATAACATTGAGCATCCTTTCCTGTGCTTATTGGCCTTTTACATGTCTTCTTTTTGAAGTGTATGTTCAAATCTTTTTTCCATTTTAAAAATTGAGTTGTCTTCTTACTGAGTTGTAAGAATTCCTTATATATTCTGGAAATAGGTCTTTGTCAGTTATATAGCTCAGATATTTTATCCCAGTTTGTGGCTTGCTTTTCCATTTTCTTAACAGTGTTTTTCAAAGAATAGAAATTAATACTTTTGGTGAAGTTCAGTTTACTTTTTCTTTTATGCTTTTGTGTCCTACCTAAGAAATCTCTGCATACCCAGACATTACATAAGACTTTCTCCTCCATTTTCTCCCAGCAGTTGTATAGTCTTAGCTTTTATGTTTATTTAGTTTTTATTTAGATCAATGATCCATTTCAAGTTAATGGTTGTGGTATAAGGTAAGGGTAGAAGTTCTCTTTTTTGCATATTGACATCCAGTTGCTCAGCACCATTTGTTGAAAAGGCTTCCCTTTCCTCATTGGATTACCTAGGCATCTTTCCTGAGTAAAATGGACCAAGTAGGCGTGAATCTACTTCTGGACTATATTGTGCTTCATCAGTCAGTGTGACTTATCCTTGTGTTAGTAGTTCTGTCCCGATCAGTGTAGCTTATCCTAGGTCTGAGAATCAGGTAATATAATCTTCTAACTTTATTCTTCCTTTGATTTTGGGTTTCCTGAGTCCTTTGCATTTGCATATAAATTTTAGGATCATCTTATTCTACAAAAAAGTTAGCTTGGCTTTTTACTGGAACTGTGTTGTAGCAGAAGATTTGGAGAGAACTGAGATCGTAACAACATGGAGTCTTTCCATGAACATGATGTATAGCTTTACATTTATTATGGTGTTTCATTTTTCTCGGCAATATTTTGTAATTTTCAGTGTTAAAGATCTTGTACCTATTGTTAAATGTGTCCCTAAATACTTCATGTTTTTGGATTTTATTGTAAACGATTATTGACAGTCTTTAGAAATACAACTGAGTTTGTATTTTGATCTTGTTTCTTGTGACCTTGCTTAACTCAGTCTAGCGTATTTTTCATAGATTCCTCATCACATAATCATGCCATCAATTAATAGATAGCTTTATTTTTTCCTTTCCAATGTATATGCCTTTTTAGTTATTTTTCTTATTGCACTGGCTGAGATCTTAAGGACAACGTTAAGTAGACATGAGAGTGGACACCTTTGTCTTGTTTCCAGTCTTAGGGGGAAAGCAGTCAGTCTTTAATCATTAAGTGTGCTATTAGCTGTGAGTGTTTTGTAAGTCTGCTTTATCAAGTTGATAAAGTTCATATGTATTCCTGGTTTTCTGAGAGTTTTTGTCATGAGTGGATGTTGAATTTTGTCAGATGATTTTTCTTCATCTATTATGTCATCTTTTTCTTCTCTTTTACTCTGTTAATATGGTGAAGTATATCAGTTGGTTTCAAATGGTAAAATGTTGCTTTCTGGATAAACCTTAGGCATGGTGTCTTCATTGCGGCTGTGTTCATAAGCAGTTATCAGTCGGTTTTATTTTCTAGGAATGTCTGCCTGGTCTTAGCATCAGGGTAATGCTGGCCTCATAAAATGAGTTGGAGTGTTTCCTCCTATTTTCTGAAAGAGTTCTTCTATGATTGTTACTATTTCTTCCTTTTATGTTTGTTAGAATTCACTAATGTTGGGGGAGCATATAGTTCAGTGGCAGAGCGCATGCTTAGCATACACAAGGTCCTGGGTTCAATCCCCAGTACCTCAATCAATCAATAAAGCGAATCCCCCTCCCAAATAAAGTCAATTGTACAAAAAAAAAAAAAAAAGATATGAAGTAAACTTAAAAAAAATTCAAAAATGAATAATTTTTGTGGAAAGTTTTTTGTTATGAATTAACATCTTTAGCTTACATAGGGCCATTAGATTTTTACATCTTCTTGAGTCAGTTTTGTTAACAACTTGTATCTTTCAAAGAATTTGTCTTTTTATCAAGTTTTTCAAATTTATTGACATAGTTTTCATACTGTTCCCCTTTTTATTATCAAGCTTGTTGAAGTTTTGTTCACATGTAATAACTGCATCAGTTTAAACTGAACAGTTGAGTGAATTTTGACAGATGTGTTTACCGGTGAAATGGCTCCCACTGCAGTTAAGATACAGAGCGTTTCCATCACCGCTGAAAGCTTCCTCATGCCTCATCTTCTCTGCCGTGCTTCAGCGTGCCACTGGAACTAAGTTGGCGTTTTCAAGAATTTTATATAAATGGAACTATAGAATATGTATTCTTGGGTCTTTTTTTACTCAGCAGAATGACTTTGAGATTCATTCGTGTTACTGCATGTATCAGTGGTTCATTCCTTCTTATTGCTGAGTAGTAGTCTTTTGCTTGGATACCCCACATTTTGTTTATTCATCTGTCAGTTGACATTTGTGTTTCCAGTTACTGGCCATTGTGAAGAAAGCTGCTATGAACACTTGTGTACAAGTCTTTGTGTGACATATGTTTTAATTTCTCTTGAGTAAATATCTAGGAGTGGAGTGGCTGGGTTGTAAAGAAACTGCTAAGCTGGTTTCCTAAGTGGTTGTATTATTTTACATTCCCACCAGCAAAGTATGAGAGTTCAGGTGGTTCCACATCCTCACCACCACTTGGTATTTGTCAGTCTTTTTAATATTAGTCATTTTAATGCATATGTAGTAGTATTTCACTGTGGTTTTACTTTGCATTTCCCTAGTGCTTAATCACGTTACACATCTTTTCATGTGGTTATTGGCCATTTTGTCAAGTGTTTGTTCAGATTTTTTGCCCGTTTAAGAAATTGGACTGTCTTCTTATTGAATAATAAGAGGTGTGGTTTTTTAAAGTACATTCTGAACATGAGTCCTTTCTCAGATACATGTATCGTGAATATTTTCTCCCATTCTGTAATTTGCCTTTTATTTTTCTCAACAATGTCTTTTGAAGAGCAAATATTTTAAATTTTGATGAATTCCAGTGTATTAGTTTTCTTTTATGGTTCATACTTTGTACCTCTTATCTAAGAAACCTTTGTTTTTGCCAAGGTCAAAAATGTTTCTCATATGTTTTCTTTTGGATGTTTTGTAGCTTTAGCTTTTACTTTCAGATCAATATGACCCACCTCTCCCCACCCCCACCAACCCTACCAGTATCTGTTGGATCTAAATAGTGATGTCTCCTCTTCATTTCTGATGTTGGCAGTTCTTTTTCTTCATTGTTCTCATCAATTTTATTGATCTTTTAAAAGCACAACTTTTGCCTTAATTTTCTTTGTTTTTCCATTGCACTAATTTCTGCTCTTAACTTTTAAATTCCTTCCTTCTACTTCCTTTGTATTTGCTTTGCTCTTCTTTTTATATTCTTAGTATGGAACCTAAGGTCATTGATTTTAGATCTTTCTTCTTTTCTAATATAAGCACTTAATGCTAAAAACTCACCCCCAAGTACTGTTTAACAGCACAGATTTTGATATGTTATATATTCATTGTCTTCAATTTGATATATTTAAAAATATCCCTTGTGATTTCTCGTCTGACACAGGCTACATTGAATTGTGTTAAACTTTTTTTCAGCCTTTTCAATACTTTATTATAAGAATTTTCACACACACAGAAAAGATGAAGGAATTTCATCGTGAACATTTATAATCAACACCTACTTTCTATTAACGTTTTACTAATTTTATCACTGCCTATTCATCCATCTTATATTCATTCTTTTTAATAAGTGAAACATATGAAACATACTAATGTGTGGATGTCATCCATAAATCATTTTACCTGTCCGATTAGGGAGGACATTTAGAGTTTCCAACTTTTTTGCTCTTGTGAATTGTCCTGCAGTGAACAACGTTCTCAAAAATAAGTCTTTACATTTCTGTGTGCTTCATGCTTCTGCAGGAAAAAACCCCTCTATGTGAACATTCATTTTAATAGATAATCCAAGTGTTGTGACAGTTTACACTCCCCCAACTCTACTTATAAGGACCTACTTTAAAATCTTTAGATGAGTTCACTTGTTTTCTTCCCTCATAAAAGGTGGAGGAAGATTTCTTAGGAGGGGTGAGAATACTGGAGCAAGCACAGGGAGTGTTATAAAACATTCTAAGCTTGTTTTCACCAGAAGGCAGAGTTCAGAGATGAGCAATAAGCCTTCACCTTGACTTCCCACCAGACCCCTACTTGACACCCCTTCAGTGGTTAAAGGGATACTTCTTGATGCCACTGCTCACAGTGTAGGGTGGGGTCGGGACCCTTGGGTCTGAGGGCCCCAGTGGTCAGGAAGCCTATCCGTGGGTATTGACAGGGGCTGTCCACTCACTGACCCTGGGGCCGCAGGGTCAGCCCAACAAGGGCAGGGGATGCGGGGAGGGAGACCCGAGCTGTTAACTGTGACTTCTTCCTGTAGGAGTCTCTATAGGAGTGGACAGCTGGCCAGACGTCCCAGTTTGCATCTTCTCTCCGTCTCCCTGGTCAGTGTTGATCAGGAGCGAGGCCATCCTGAGTGGAGGTGACGAGCTGTCCAGACACCCTGTGGCATGAGAGCCTCCCTATGGGGGATGTTGTCCCAGGGGAGGGGCCCGGGGCACCTGTTTCCTTACTGTTCTTCCCGGCAGGGAGGCGCTCATGACCCATATGCTGTCTTGGGGGTGTGGCTGTGGGTGTTCCCTTCTTTTCTGTCTGCTGCATCTTTGCTGGTTGTTACTTCTGTAACGTAAGGCCTGAGCTTCGTATTCATGAAAAGAAAGCTCCATGTCCCCCCTCCACCTCCAAGACAGCAAGGGAAGGAGAGACGGGTTGTTGGTGGCAGCTGGAACACTCGCGTCTCCTCTCAAGGGCAGGGAAGGGGCCTGTCCTCACACTGACCTCCTGCTCACTTTGCCTTCTCAGTCGGACAGTGTTTGAAGACCCTTAGAAGGTCCTCTGAAGTGTCAGCTTTAGACATTTCGTATTAAAGTGACCTACTTGCTTTGTAGGAGAAGTACAGCGCCGGGGAGCCCACGGTGCCGTCCACCATCGCGGAGGAGTTCACCTACAACCCGTTCATGAGAGTGAGGTGAGGGCGCGGGCGGGCCCCACGCCATCCTCGGGTGACTTCGCTGCCTCACTTGGGCACAGCTGAACAGTGTCCAGCACCACAGCTCCTGAAGAGCCAGGTGGTAGAGGAGACCGCCCTGAAATCTGTTAAGTACAGCCAAGAATCAGATGCTGCTGCTTAAGAGAAAGGGGAGCACTTGCTATCCTGGGAGGGGTGTGGGGTCCTTTCTGACCTTAGAGGAGAGGAGGCAGATGAGACTTGTGCTCGGTGAGCCTCTTGGCGTTGGGCAGTGCCAGATGCCAGTGTGGAGTTGGTGTCCCCGCTTTCTGGAACACCAGCACGGGTGGCACGCCCAGCGTGTTTCCCACAGTTAGGAGAGCTCAAGTTGGCTGATAGCTGTCCTGTTTCATTTTGAGAACATCCTGACTCCTCCAGGCACTTTTCTTCCCTGCTGCCCTGGGAGGGGCGGTGGGGCCTGTGGGCGCCATGTGCAGCCTGCAGCCTGGTGCTTGGCTTCTGCAGGGAGAAGACGGTGCAGCAGCACGCGGGTGAGACGGACCCCGTGACCACCATGAGAGCCATCCGCAAAGAGAAGGACCATTTCAAGGTGCCCCGGGACTGACGTGGCCATGAGGCCTGGGCGCCTGTGGCTGCTGCCACCTCTGCCTTCAAGCACATTTGGGTATTCAGCTGTTTTAGGTGAATTTCAAGCCAGGACTGCAGGAAATTCAGTCTCAGATTAATTTTAAGTTAATTTTAGAGCCCTTTGCTTGTGTCATCAAATGTTCTAATGCATATTTATGAGAGAATAAGTTTAGAAAGTGTTTATTCCTGGAAGCTCTGCTTGCAGACTGTGTGTTGTCTCTGGTCTGTCCATGGGGTCCCCACAGTTGCCTTGTGAACCTCTACATGCTGCCTCAACAAGAGTGGCCCCTCTGCCCCTGCTGAGGCCGGCAGGCCCTGTATTTTCAGTGCTTCAAGTCCGGACTTTCCAGAACAAGCCCCTGGGAGGGGCACGCTCCCCTCTTTTCCCACCGCTGCATGGCATCATCCCCTCACCTCTAGACTTACCTCACAACTCATCTTCACAACGACTTGTCCATGTTGACGGGCAGCAGGACCCCAGGGCTCGGCCTTGAGCGCCTACCTGGGCTGGGGCAGCAAGTGGTCATTGATGTACATCTGTGTGCTCGAGGCCAGAGGCTGGGGCGATGCTGAAGACATTCCTGCACTGCAGGGCTGGGCCGGGGCCTCGGGCTGGGAGTGTGTGGCTGGGAGCCTGGGGCAGCTGGTGCCAGAGGAGCTCCAAGCTCTGCACGTCCGTCCCTCTGAAGGCTGGCCTGTCCTGGGGATGCTCCCAGCAACCAGCATGGGGCACTGTGCCTTGAGTGGGCACAGGAGCTGACGCAGGGATGCCGGGATGTGTGTCTGCAGTGGGGATGCGTGGGGCCCGGGGCTATCAGACAGAACTGTTGGTCCTGCGCTGTCCCTGCCTGAGGTCTGATCCTCTCAAGTCCCCGGCAGGGAGAGGGCTCCAAGTCCTTCCTCCTGGTGGCAGCATGGGGGAAGCCTAATCTTGAGGTGGGGTCTGGGCGTCCCTGCTCTGCAGCCATTCCTTCTGCTCTTGCTTGAGAAACTTGAAATGCGCCGTCCTGGGAAGCAGCTGTGCTAGGCTGGGCCCCTTTGTCTGCAGTCTCTGGCTGGTCTTGGACCCTGGGGAACCAGGTGGCTCTGATTACATCGAGTCATGTCTCAGGCAGAGCCGCTGGGAGATCCTAGCCGGCCCAGTGGGTCGTGATAGCACCCAGGGCCCTGAGGCGGGAGGAAGGAGGGATGAGACTTGGGGGCACACGGTCCAGACATGGGAACAGTTGGAGGCAGGAAGGGCTGCTGGGAAGATGGGCTGTCCGTACCCAACCAACCCATTTCTAGACCTGGAGGTTTTCTGTCTGACCTTGGTCTGTGACAGGAACAGTGCCAGGACCCAGGGTTTGTGACAGCTTTGCTCGCTGAGCTGGTCATGTGAGTCTCCTGGCCTCACCCGCCGCAGTGATGCTCACTGAACACTTTTCTGTCCAGCTGAGACCCTCTGCCCGCTCCCTTTGAGGTCGTGCCCTTCCCTCCTCATCCAGGCCAGTCATGACACAGCGCTGTTGTCTGTCGCCATCTCCCTGGATTCCTCAGGTCCCTGGACTATCTAAGCTCGGGTCTGTGTCACTCTGCAGCTGCCTGTGTGGGCCACACAGCCGGGAGTCCAGGAGATTTAAAAATTGCATGAGGATCACAGTCATTCCTGTCCAAAGATGACGTTCTAGGTGGAGCCAAAGCTCCCTGTGACCAGCAGCCCCCTACCACCTGGGGTGTGGAGGGGTTTGCACGAGTCCTTCTAGACGCTTCATTTCATAGCTTTGTACCGCCAACTGGAAATGCTGATGCAGTCGACTTGGGATCCCTTGCTTTGTGATGCCCAAGGCCAGCACGAGGATTGCTGTGGGCCTGTGGGTGCTGCCCCACCCCCCAGGTGGCCCTTGTGTTTCTGACAGCCCCTCCCTGGGGATGTGGAGCTCATCGCCAGTTCCCACCAGCAGCACAAAGGCTGCGGTAAGGGTGGGTGGTTCTTTTTGGAACCAGCTGCCACAAGGCCCCTCTCCCACAGGTGCCTGCCAAGGTCCCGCTTCCCTCCTCTGAGTTCTGGGTTGGACTTGTGGCCAGTGTCCTGTGTCTGCGATGCATGGCTTTGTTGTGCTCTCGTCCAGGCCTGGGCTGCCCCAAGAAGCGGATGCCGGCCGGTGGAGAGAGTGCTTCAGAGAGCATCCAGCCCAGCTGGTAAAGCTGGCCGGTCCCGCTGTGCCCGCCGCTCTCGGTCCGGGGCGTGGAAGGCGCCTTGCGGAGGTTCCACACGTGTCACCTGGTTACGCGGGAGGCTGACTGCTTTTCACACGCTTACTGGCCGCTTGGATTTCCTCACTTGGGAGCTGCCTCTTCTCTTAGGTTTCTTCCCTGGTTTTCTATCAGGTTTGTGTTTCTCACTGATCAGTAGGAGTCCTTTGTTTCATATTGCACGTTTGATTCTGTATGTTTGCAGTTTTCTCCTAGTTTGTTGTTGGCTTTACACTCTGGTGTCTCGTTGAAGAAGTTCTTAATTTAATGTAGTCAAATGTATATTTTTTTCCTTCATGGTAAATGCTTTTGTGTCCTGTTTAACTACCCTTTCCTGCCTCTGACACCTTCCTGTATTTCATCCACTAGTTCTTTGTTTTACTTTTCACATTCCAGTTTGTGATTCTTTTTACCATGCTGTTTATGCTGGTGGCTGGAGATGGTCACCCGGTGCCCCTCCCCCTGGGCACTGCCTGCCCTGGTGAGCCGGCGTCCAGGGGTCCAGACCTGTTTCATGGCTCTGCATTCCACTGGTATGTCTGTCTGTCCTGACGTCGGCCCCAGGTTCCCTGTTATGACAGCTTTAGGACAGTTCATTTCCAGCAAGGGGCTCGCCCAACCACATCCATCAAGGGAGTCTTGGCCCTTTGCTCATATGTGTAAATATCAGGATATTTACATCTGGGATTTGCACTGGAGAAATGTGGACCCGCTGGATTGGAAGAAGTGGCTTGTTGTGACGTGGAGAGTTGCAAATTACGAACACGCTGCTGGTGCAGCCACTTGGGTCTGCAGTGCTGTCGCGCTGTGTGTGCAGGGCAGCTCTGCTGCCGTCCAGCAGCGTCAGCACTGCCACAGGGGAGGGGCACAGTCCCCCATCAAGGCTGCCCTCACCTCGGACACCAGCCAGAAGCTGGGGTCCCCAGGCCACGTGCACTTCTGACCAACTGGCGACAAGTTCAGAGGTTCTCATGATCCCCCTCGGATTCAGCAGCTCACTAGGATGACTCAGAATCCAGGGAAGCACTAGACTTACGATTTTACAGTCTTATTATAACAGACACAAAGCAGGACTGGACAAGTGAAGAGACCCACACGCAAGGTGGGGAGGATCTGGGCTGAGTGCTGTCCCTCCAGCACACCACCCTCCTGGCACGTCCCGCTGAGCCTCCCTGTCCAGTTGGTTTGGGGTGTCACTGTGTCATCCCTGGCCTGAACTCCAGCCCCTCCTCCCAGGACGTCCCACCCTCTGATCACAGGGTGGTTCTGCCCGGTGACAGCCTCCATTTAGTCACCTCATTAGTGTCAACTCGGGTGGCCGGGGCTACTGTGACTAACGAGTACCCACCCCTCAGGTCACTCCAAGGAATCAGAGGCTCCCTCCCCAAACCAGGGGGAAGGCTGGACACACGGCTGTGCAGCAGATGCCTTTCCCACCAGGGTTTGTAACTCCCTCCCTGGAGGCCGGCTCTCTGGAACTCTGGCCCCAGGTGCTTTATTTTGATGCTGTTGTAAATGGCGTCTTTTTTTAGGTCTCTCCTGAGGTCAGGAGTGCGCAGGAGGGCAGTCACCCTTGTCCCTGGGAGCCCCGCTAAGCTTGCTCACCCTAATGGCAACTGTTCTGTGGGCCTTTGTGGTACAGTCACTGACACTTTTGTTTCCTACATCTCCTGTGTTGAAGTGAGGCAAGCAGGCACAGTGGCCTTTATTCCCGATTTCATTGGTTTAACAAATATCTGAATGCTGATGATGTGGCAGATGGCAGGCTGCTTTGCGGATTCAGAGGGAACAGATGGAAATCCCTGTCTTGGTGCAGGAATACCACTCTCTATCAGGTGAGTGGGACACTGGGCAGGTTAGACAGAGGAGGTACCAGGGAAAAGGTGAAGGAGGAAAAGGTGCAGAGAGAGCTGCCGATGTCATCCTTAAATAGGGTGGGTGGCCAGGGGTGGCCTTGACGAGGTGAGTAAAACTTGAGGGGATGGACAGAGGGAGCCATGCAGATATTTGGAAGAAAACAAGTGCAAAGGCCCTGGGGCCGGTCTGCAGAAGAGCAAGAGGCCAGTGTGGCTGAGCTGAGCTGAGCCAGAGGAGGGGGTGGGGAGCAGTGATAAGGTGGGTCAGTGTATAGACCGTGTGATGTCCACTCTGAGCTGTGCAGACATGGGATCAGAGCTGACCTTTACCCAGATTTCTCAGGTGTGATGGCAGGGCCACTAGCAAGGAGACCAGTGGTGCTGGTTGAGGTGGTAGAGCGGCGGGTTCCCAGTGGGAGCCGAGGTAGAGGCAGCAGCATTTGGTCCCAGGCTGGCTCTGAGCTGAGTGCTGAGTTGGGAGTCCACGTCCATTTCCTGGGAAGGGGAGACTGAGGGGCTGAGACCTGTGTGGCCGGGTTTTGGCAAGTCAGGTTGAATGTGTCTCCAGCACATGGGGAGTCCTGAAGCCAGGAGAGTGAGCCAACGTCAGGAGGGCAGGGTGGTCTAGAGGGGGGTGTTCCCCGGAGGAAGCCGCCAGCTGGCCCCTGCAGATTGGTGCGTGGTCTGCGTAGCTGTGGTCATCGCAGTGAGCTGTCTTCCTGGCTTGCACGTTGTCCGAGTGGGGGTCTCATCGCATCTCCTTTGGTCCGGGGGGTGGTGCGAACGGTTTTCAGTGGTGTCGCCGTATCTTGGGCGAAATCCCCTTTTGTCAGAACTTCGGCCGCTGGTTCACTCTTGTACTGTCCCTGCCTGGTTTCGGAAATGCTAAGGTGTTGTGGAAATTCTTCTCACCTCCTGGGGCGTTTGTAGGAGGTAATTCTAGTCTGAGCCCGGTGTTTTCTTTTGTGGGTGTTTTTAAAACTAGTGATCCTGTTTCTTCATGGTTATAAGGGCTGTTACTTCTGTTCTTCAGCCACTTATGTAAGTTTTTTATTTCCTGCGTTTTCAAATCCGGCCTGTAAAGTCTTCGTGTCTCTGATGTGCACGTCTGTGTCCCTTCCCCCTTCCCAGCAGAGCCCTTGGTTGTGTCCTCTCGCTTTGGGCTCCATGCTTTCTCAGTTCCCCAGGGACCTCATCCCCTCCCAGCCTTTTTCCTAGAGACCATAAAGCTAAAAGGTCCCCCGCAGTGTCCGCTGGGTAGCGCTACGTTCTGGCTGCAGTAACTTTCACGATTCCTCGTTTATTTCCTCCCAGGCACCTGTACAGGTGGACTGATGCTACTCCATAGGAAATAAACAGCCCAGGTGTTCTCACTACCTGTTGCTGATTCCTGACCCAGTGCCCACCTT